TGATTTGATGGATTGTTGTCCCAGCTCTAAGAAAGTCTTCTCACAAGGCTGCTCGCTCCCCTGCATGCATAAACATATTAAGGCATATCACTAACAATAAAACATAAATATGCTTTTAAAACACTAGCACATCTTGAAGGATTTATACTTTTTTTGACTATTGTATGGGTTGACTTTGCCCAGAGAATTCTGGGAGTTGTAGTGTAGGAAGGATGGATGGATGGATGCAGGAAGGAGTGTTAAGCCAGTTTAAGTCCGTGGTCCACACAGATGGCACGTGACTACTTTGCTCTTTGCAGAATGTGTCAGAGGCCTGATCTTGCATGCCGAGGAGGTGAGTTATTGGGAACCTCTTTTTAGATTGTTTTATTCAGTCACCCAGTTCCTGTTTGACAAGCCTAATTGTTTCCTTTCTCCGCCAGCAACTTCAGTTAGGCATGGAACTGGATGTGAACCCCAAGATGGGGAATTTGATGAGGCTGATACTCTTCCCCCTTCTGTTTTGCTATTAGCACTTTGCTGCTGCACTTCTGCTTTTTGTCGGCCTTTAAATCCCAGTACAGGTCACCAGTTAATTAAAACCATCAAAGTCAAGGTAATTTTCAGTTACATAAGAGAAATGTTCCTTCCTCATTTCTCTAGGCTCCTGCTGTAAATCTGTAGACGGGGAAGAAATTATTATTATTATTATTATTATTATTATTATTATTATTATTATTATTATTAGAACATTTCTATGCCGCCCCTTGCCGAAGCCTCGGGGCGGCTTACAACACAATAAAATACAATACAATATAAAAATAACAATATAAAATTAAAATTAATAATATAAATAAAAAATATAAACGATATAAAAGAAGTTATAAAAGAAAAGTTAGAAAAGAAGTCGCCCTGGCCAGATAAATAAGTAAATATTGTTAACAATTAAAATGACGTTTAAATAAAAAGGTCTTCACCTGGCGCCGAAAAACAAATAACGACGGCGCCAGGCGGACCTCTCTGGGGAGCACATTCCATAGATTCGGCACCACGGCAGAGAAAGCCCTCCTCCGAGTACATACCCTCCTAATTTCTTTCACGGAGGGTTCCCGGAGAAGGGCCTCTCCCGCAGATCTCAAGGGGTGGTCGGGCATATATGGATGTAAGCGCTCCTTCAGGTAACCAGGTCCCAAGCCTTTTAGGGCTTTATAGGTCATAACCAACACCTTGAATTGGGCCCGGACTTCAATGGGAAGCCAGTGAAGCTGTCGGAGGACTGGAGTCATGTGAACATAACGCCCCGTCCCCATCAGCAACCTGGCAGCTCTATTTTGAACCAATTGAAGTATCCGGACCGTCTTCAAGGGAAGCCCCACGTAAAGCGCGTTACAGAAGTCAAGGCGGGAAGTCACCAGCGCGTGTGTCACCCTCGCCAGGCAGTTGTACTCCAGGTAGGGGCGCAGCTGATTAATCAGCCGAAGCTGAAGGAAAGCGCTCCTCGCCACCGCTGTCACCTGAGCTTCCAATGAAAGCTCCGGGTCGAGGAGTACTCCTAAGCTGCGGACCTTGTCCCTAAGAGGGAGTGCAACCCCATTCAGGGCCAGGTCAAATCCACCCTCTCCGAAGCCCAATCCGCCAATCAACAGGACCTCCGTCTTGTCTGGATTGAGCTTCAGTTTATTGGCCCTCATCCAGCCCATTACCTCGGCCAAGCACCGGTTCAGCACAGCCACTGCCTCACCTGGATTAGTGGAAAATGAGAGGTAGAGCTGGGTATCATCAGCGTACTGATGATTCCGTAGCCCACACCTCCTGATGACCTCTCCCAGCGGTTTCATATAGATGTTAAACAGCAAAGGGGACAAAATGGAGCCCTGTGGTACTCCATGGCATAGCTGCCATGGTGCAGAGCCATAGTCCCCCAGCACTACCTTCTGGAATCGGCCATTGAGATAGGAGCGGAACCACTGCAAAGCAGTGCCTCTGACCCCCAATCCCGCTAGCCTATCCAGAAGGATACCATGGTCGATGGTATCGAAAGCCGCTGAGAGGTCCAGAAGAACCAACAGGGACGCACTCCCCCTGTCCTTCTCCCTGCACAGGTCATCGTACAAGGCGACCAAGGCAGATTCAGTACCGTACCCGCGTCTGAAGCCGGACTGAAATGGGTCCAGATAATCAGTTTCATCCAGGAGTGCTTGGAGTTGTCCCGCCACCACCCGCTCCAATACCTTGCCCAGAAATGGGATGTTGGCCGCTGGTCTATAGTTAGTGGCCATCTCTGGATCCAGTGACGCTTTCTTCAGGACCAGTCGTATTACCGCCTCCTTTAAAGGGGCAGGCACCCAACCCTCCCTCAGAGAAGCGTTAACCACTTCCAAGATCCATGTCCCAATCCCGTGCTTGGAATTATTTATTAACCAAGACGGGCAAGGGTCCAATAGGCAAGTGGTGGGATGTACTCGTCCAAGCACCTTGTCCACATCATCGGGCCGCAATAACTGAAATTCATCCAATAATGCTGGACCAGACGGCAGCATTGGCGTCTCCCCAGAAACCTCTGATTCATTAGTGGAGTCCAGCTCGTGACGAATCTGAGCGATTTTCTCCCTGAAATGCCTGGCAAAGTCGTCACAGCGGGCCTTTGAGGGTGGAATCCTTAGGACCCGGGCGAACCAGGCCTTGCACTACTCGAAATAGCTCCGCCGGACGGCATTGTGAGGAGGCAATGGAAGCGGAAAAAAACTTCTTTTTCGCCGCCTTCACCACCACAGCATAGGCCCGATAGTGGGCTCTCAAGTGTGTTCGGTCAGATTCATCCCGTGATTTCCTCCACCTATGCTCCAGCCGTCTCCCCACCTGCTTCATCGCCCTCAATTCAGGTGTATACCAAGGGGAAGAGCGAGCTCTGCCCGGTGGGAGAGGACGCTTAGGAGCGATCGTGTCCACAGCCCTGGTCATCTCCCTGTTCCACAGATCGACCAGAGCCTCGACAGGAGCACCAGTCTTGTCAGCCGGAAATTCCCCCAGGGCTTTCAGGAATCCATCCGGGTCCATCCGGCTCCGGGGGCGGACCCACACCATCGGATCCGCACCCTTACAGAAGGAGAGGTCACTCTCGAGCACAAACCTCACCAGGAAGTGATCTGACCATGACAGGGGAGTCAAACATAAATTTCTCACCCTCAGGTCACCCTCTTCCTGCCCCGTCGAGAAAACCAGGTCCAGAGTGTGTCCACGTTCATGGGTCGGGCCGGAGACATGTTGAGACAGCCCCATGGCCGTCATGGAGGCCATGAAGTCCTGAGCCGCCCCGGTTAGACCAGACTCAGCATGGAGATTGAAGTCCCCCAGGACCAACATCCTAGGGGTCTTCAACACCAGGTCCGAGACGGTCTCCGTCAGCTCAGATAGGGAGACTGTTGGGCAGAAGGGTGCACGGTACACCAACAGAATCCCCAATCTGTCTCGTTCACCCAACTCCAAGTAGAGGCACTCCAGCCCTGGCCTCGAAGAGACCGGAAGTCCCGTGAGAGAGATGGAGGCTCGGTAAACCAAAGCGACCCCCCCTCCCCTCCCCTCTGGGCGTGAGCAGTGCTGAACCAGATACCCGGGCAGGCACCGTTGAGAGAGGGTAACATCCCCCCGCTCTCCCGCCCAGGTCTCCGTTATGCAAGCCAGGTCAGCCCCCTCATCCACAATCAAGTCATGGATGAGGGAAGATTTATTATTGACCGACCTGGCATGGAGCAGCAGCACCGTCAGGCCCGAGGGGCGGTTGACAAGGCTACCTGGCACTCTCTGGGTGGGGGAAGAACTAGAAAGAGGGACAGGTGTCAGCCATCTGTCCCTCCTTCTTCTACGCGGACACGTTAAGCCCCCACTGCTGTTACGTCCATTGCCCATGACCACGCCAATGGCAGCGCCCGCGCGTTCCCCAGGAAACATAAACGTCGACATGGCCAGGGACGACTCCATAAAAACAGATTAAACAGGATAAAACTATAAAAGCAGTTAAAGAAAAGAAGAGAAGAAAGAGAGAAAAGAAAAAAAAAATCCCCCCTTCCCTAATATACAACGGCAGGCGGGTCAATTCCAACCAAAGCCCCTGGCCAGCCCAGCCCCCCGCTCAGCCCCCAAACAGCTCCCAAACGGCGGCGACCGCCCTTCGGCCGTCGCCCTTCGGGCGCTTCCGAGGCCCCGCCTGGTCCCGCAAGCGCTCAGCTGTGCGGGGGGGGGGCGGGGCAACCCGAACTGGACCTGCGTGCTGGCTGGTGGTACTGGCCTCCGTCGGCGGCACGGCGCGTCGCGGCAGCGTGCGGCTGCTTGCGCGCGAAGGTCCTTCCTTCCTGCAGCGCGGGGGAGCAGCGTGCGTGCGGTGGTCCCTTCCTCAGTCCCCTGCCGCTCCCTCAACCGTTGAACTAAAATCAGCTCTCAGGTAACACAGTGGGGTACATTCTTCTACAAATCCGTTTGTAGAAATGTACAAACACTATGTCGAAGGGCAATTCCAGCCTGTGGCAGGTGATCTTGAGCACCACCTGGGAATGCCACCAACCTCTGAGAGCACCTTTTCCTTTGCCAACCTGCCTGGTCATGGAGGGCACCGGTGAGCATGCTCCCAGGATTGCACATGGACCCGTGGCCTGACTGGAATCCACTAGGAAAGAGCCTTCTCTGGAACTCCCTGCCTCTGGAGGCCAGGCAAGCTCCCACTCCAAGTTGTTTCTGGTGCTGCTAGAGACACCTGTGTTTGAGGAAGGCTTCTTTGCTGCCCAGCTACAGTTTTAATATTATCCTGTTTTTAGTGCATTGTTTTCATTCATTTACCTGTTTAATCTTTTTATCGTTCACCACTCCAAATCTTTCTAGATAAGGAGCTGTATGCAAATACTGTAAATATATTTATCTCCCTACAGGTAGTTGTTTGCAGCACTGAGCAGGAAAATGACTGGGCTCTAGTCCCACGGAACTTAAAAGCCCTGTGCAGTGACTCTCTTCTCTGCCTTCTGTCTCCTCAGTTTGAGCAGTCCTCTCTGCAGGCGATTCACCAACGCAGGCGGGAACTGCTGAGCAGCATGTGCAATCGGTACACACGCAAGCGGCGCCTCCTGACCCCTGATGACTTGCGCCACCTGGTGGTTGATGATGTCCATGGGCTGCTGTACTGCTACGTCCCCAAGGTAGCTTGCACGAACTGGAAGCGAGTCCTGATGGTCTTGACAGGACAAGGCAAGTACCAGGACCCGCTGGAAATCCCAGCCAATGAGGCTCACGTCTCGTCCAACCTGCGCACACTATCTGAGTACAGCATTCCTGAGATCAACTACCGTTTGCGTAACTACCTCAAGTTCATCTTTGTGCGGGAACCCTTTGAGCGGCTGGTCTCGGCCTACCGCAACAAGTTCACCCGTAGCTACAACACAGCCTTCCACAAACGCTACGGGACCAAGATCATTCGCCGGCACCGCCAGGACCCGAGTGACGAGGCCCTGGAACAGGGCCATGATGTTCGTTTTGAGGAGTTTGTGTACTACTTGCTGGACCCACAGACCCAACACGAGGAGCCTTTCAATGAGCACTGGGAGCGGGTGCACTCCCTGTGCCACCCCTGCATCATCCACTATGACGTTGTGGGCAAGTACGAGACACTGGCCAGGGATGCCAGCTACATCCTGCGATTGGTCGGGGCAGATGCAGGCATCAAGTTCCCCTCCTCATCCAAGACCACGAGGACCAATGACGACATGACCGCTAAATTCTTCCAGAACATCAGCCCCTTCTACCAAAGGAGGTTATTTAATTTATATAAAATGGATTACTTGCTCTTCAACTACACTGTCCCTTCTTACTTACGCATCCGGTGAGGCTGGCGACAAGAGGCCTCTCCCTCCACGCTTCATTTCTGCTTTCTGCTGTCGGCCGGTGAACCAGTAGGGAGGGCACGCGTCACACTTCCCTTTTCCACCCCTGCTGTGATGGGCAAGGTAGCATGGTACCAGTCTCTTACTCCTGCAGTCACAGGCCTCTCTTCCCTCTCCCTCTCCCAAGGGAAGGCACCTATTCTTCTCTAGCTGCACTTCTTCCTATCCCTCAACCAAAGAGTACTGTTTCTAGGAATCACGGAAATTGCGACATTTTGTCAGGGGACTCAGCCTGGAACAATTGGAGAAGCAATAAAAAGAACGGATTCTTAAGTGCTTTAAAAAACATGTGTAATAAAAAATTCCCTTGAACTGCTCTCCTCATAGATTGAAGAAGGGAGAATTGTGACCCCACAGTGCTTTTTATTGCGAACCGTGTCCTACTGTATGTTCTGTGAGACAAAACCCATCCCATCTCCACTCTCCTTCCCAACCCCCCTTCAGCTGGCACTTGACGGATGCAGGCATTTTCTTTGGAGCGGCCCACCCCTTCTACTCCCATGCGAATTCCATTGGCACGAGTAGAAATTGCACTGGAGCAGTGCTTCCTTCGTACATTGTCCTCTGGGCATTGCATGCGTGTGTGACTTGTGTGCGTGAGTGTCCCAACCTCATGTAATATTTAATTATTTCCCCCAACCCATAAAAAAGAAACCCCTCCTCAAAAGTATTTTATGGAGGTTGCTCAGCTTTTTATGTGTCCTGCAAAACATGGTCCCAGCTCAGCTGAGGCTCCAGAACCAGGCCTATGGGTTAAACCATTGAAGGGGGGCCAACTTGAAAGGCACGTGGCAAGAAAAGGCCAGAAATGGTTTGCTGTCGCCCCATGAGGAAAAGTCAGCTGCACGAGATTTTGTATCTCCGCATTGTCCTCCGGCCCAGGGGTCTGCTGTAGCATGTGGCCTGCCAGATGCTCCAGCCTGCAGCTCCCGTTAGCCCTAACCAGCACAGTCAATGATAAGGGATGATGGGAACTGTGAACCCAACATCTGGAGGGCCACGAGTTGCCAGCCCTGCCTCACATTAAGCATGGGGCATAGCATTTGCAGCAGAGCCCCTTGGTCATCTTTTCCTGTGCAAAAGAGCTGCCTGCTTTTCATGGGGCAAGTTCAGCCCTGGAGAGTCCATTTATGTTACTGCAACGCCCTTGAAAACTTGAGGAACACTCCTGAAATGAGTGGGTAGGAAGCCTTATTCCTTCAGGGAGTGGGCCTGTGGAGGGGTGTGTGTGTGTGTGTCTGTGTGTTAGCCTGGGTATGGAAAAGCAAGAGGGGGCATGTATAACTGATAAGCCATTGCCATTGTCAGTCTTCTTAGCTTTGGAGCATCTGTACTTGAAAAGACAATCTCTGCATTGTAAATTTGATTCAGTCCACATGCGCAGTTTTGCTTAAATAAAACAGCCTTTTTGTCTCTACTTCATTATATTCCTCTTTTTCTATGTACTCCAGGGATTGTTTTTGTTATTGTGTAAATGTGCTAATAATCGGATTACTGTAGAGCAGTCCTGATTTTGGTGTGAGTGCTTGTCAGCTGTGCAATACTGAGTGTACTCCAACAGGCTACTTGAGGTTGACAGAGTGTATATATTGAAAGCATTATGATGCAGGCTTTTTGGACATTGCTGCCATTCTCTCTCCTGTGGGTGACCATTTCCTATTAGACCAAAATGGCCTTACAGGAGGTTGTGAGCAAGTAAAAAACAGTTCAGAAGCATCAGCTCACTTGCAGTGGCACCGAGTGCCAGTTTCCAGTTTTATCTCCAAAGCAGAGTCAGTATATTCTGCAAAAGGGTTTCCTGACCAGCAGCTCAGAGACGACACTGGATCCAGAATGTGCCTTTTGCGCGAGGAATCGCTGTGCTCAAAGAAGGCCCCATCCATGTCTGGAAGTCTTCCCCCTCCCCAAGCTAGAGCTCACCTCATTCTGGAGGGCCTCCTGGCTCTCTGTATAGCCTTTCGGGGGACCTGGAGGGGTGGCTGTGAGGAGGAGTGGGTAGGGAAGTCCAATTCTACCCACAGTCGATACCACACAGAACCCCATGTAGGCATTTTGCCTTTCTTCTGAGGAACTAAGCATGTTGTACCCCAGTCCCCACAACAGCCCTGCAAGGTAGGTTACTTCTGAAAGATGGTGGCTGGCCCAATGTCATCCAAGGAGGGTTTTTTCCCCATTGATCAGGAATTTGCACCTGAATCCCCATCCAAATTTGACACCTTTCATAGTCCCACATTCCTCTTAGGACTCTTCCTTGGCCCTCCTGCCCCCAGTAGCCACTCCTCAAAACTACTTAATTGCATGTATAAGTAAATGGAAAGATCCTTGCAAATAATTACAGCAGGACAAAGTACCCCTGTGCCTTCTCACTTGCCCTTTTCCTGGCAAGTCTCCCCTGTCACCTGTCTCCATGATAAAATTGAGCTATGCAAGCTGCCTCGGGTTCCTTGCAGGGAGAAAAGTGACTGGACATAGATGCAATGTGATGATGATAATATTAATGAGTTCTAGGCAAGAGACAGTGCAGTGCACAGTTACTGAACACCAGAAAGCTAAACAACTGACCATCCCCTAATCAATGGATTCTATTGCATAGGAATCCCCTCCCAGCAATAGCCATTGGTGGAGCAGCTAGAAGAGGCAGGGACCTGCCTTGCAAATACAAGGGCGTGGCATGAATGCTTAAGTTTGCGCTTCTGATGATTTTGCACGTGTGCAGTCTCCGGGTTTATTCTGCTCAGTTGAATTCCAGGACGCTCTCCTACACTGCTTTGCATATACCTTTCCTTTACATTCCCCCTGTGTGTTGCTTTACTGCCAACATGCCATTCATGATGCTTTTATTCCCCTGCAGACTGTAATCTTAGAGACCTTCCTGTGATAAAATTAACTGGTTGCTCTCAAGGGGACACACCCATGATCTTGAATCCACATTGTTTGGAAGCACAAGATGTGTGATTGCAGCGGTCTTCCGGTCATTTCCACAAGCAAAACACAGATGATTAGAAATCTGGGGAGAAATCCAGTGTAGGAAGAGAAATTATGTCCTCTACTTCTCAAACTGCTCTCTTAAAACACAATCACACATTCCTATGTCTATGTTTACTTAAATAAAAGTTCCATTGAAATATTTACTTCTAGTAAATGAGCTCAAGATGGCAGTCTAAATATATATGTTCCTATTGTGGAAGGAAGCTTATACTAACAGATCTCACCAAAACTAAACATTTTCAAACACCCTCCTCCCATTTTCAAACACCCTCCTCCCATACCCAGAGAGTTATGTTGCAACCCTATACCCACAAGTCTTATTGAATTCATTGAAACTTACAACTCAGTAGATAATGAGTAGAATCATATTGCTAGGTACATGAAATTAACAAGAGCCAGATGTTTTTAACCTTTTAATCCCTGCTTCCTTCAAAGAGCTGTATGTACTTCCTTTCCTTTAAAAAAAATCCAATAATTGTATCCTACCTTTCTATTGGTGATAATTAAAGTGGCTTACAAGTTGTCATAAAACAGTATAAAAACAACATATTCAAATGTACAGAAATGAGCAGCTTGTAAGAACAATTAGCTCCTGGCGAATCAAATCATAACTGATTCAACAGCAAAAACATCTGTTGGAATAAGTGACTGCAAAAAGCAGCCCGTAAATAGTAGGCCAGGTGACTCTTGCCCAGTGTCTCGACACCATTATAAAAACAGCTCCATCTCTTCCAGCACCTGCCAAGGGAATGATGGCAGTGGGCAGGGCAAAGCCTCTGGTACAGGTCTCAAAAAGCAGGGGCCGAGTGCTGGCCCATTTTATCCTGGCAGCCTCGATGGAGAGGCAGTAACTGGGCTTGTGTTAACCCAAATAAGCTTACTGACCAAGCCAGAATTTAAACCCAGTTCTCTAGCAGCCAAGCAGGAATTTGAATGTCATCTACCAGGGGACAAACCTTTGCCAGCTGGCCTAATCCGGCCTAGACTGGGGCACAACCCCTCCGTGAGCCCCACTCCGCGCTCTCCCTGGGGGTGCAGGGAGAGATGCCCACGCTGCCTCTGGAGATAACAGTGGGACTCCCTTTTCTGCCACTCATCCTCCGTAAGAAGGCAAGGAGTGCAAAGCAGAATCAGAGACGGGTGATGAGAGCCATTGACCGAGTGCTCGTGATTCCTCGTGGTGCTTTCTGGTTCTCTGCCTGATGCCCTCATCCTCCAGAGTCCCTCCTGTTCTATGTAACCATTTCTGTAGCCTTTTTAAGAGCAAAGAATGAACCAGAATGAGACCCTCATATTTGCACTATTCCACTGTACTGCAGAGGAGATCAACCCTGACTGCTCTTTAGAAGGCCAGATACTGAAGATGAAGCTCAAATGCTTTGGCCACCTAATGAGAAGGAAGGACTCCCTGGAGAAGAGCCTAATGCTGGGAACAATAGAGGGCAAAAGAAGGAGACGGCAGAGAATGAGGTGGCTGGATGGAGTCACTGAAGCAGTTGGTGTGAGCCTAAGTGGACTCCGGGAGATGGTGGAGGACAGGAAGGCCTGGAGGAATGTTGTCCATGGGGTCACAAAGAGTCTTTCTTTGTGACTGAACAACAACTGTACTGCAGCATCATCTTCTGATTGTGTAATGAAACACATAGAAAGTTAGATAATGAACTCCCCCCCTCGGGGGGGGGCATGTGTAAAAAAAAGCCAATCTTAATTCTTCAGGGAATCCAGAAGCAAAACCCTATTCTTGTCTCTTTTTACGGCAACAAAACAGTTTTCTAACATAAAGGGATATAGAAGTAGTTGTGAAGTGTGGAATGGAGGCTGCAGGGGGAGAACAAGGAAGAACAAGGATAACGGTGTGCATTGCGCTGGCATGTTTCAGGCACTGCCCGCCCCATCAGACAGTTAAGCGCAGGGTGTACGATTACTTGGCTGCACCACTGGCCGTGGCTCTTGCCCAAACCATCTCTGGCCAACGCCATGCTCCCTTCTGCTGCTAAGCAGCGGCTGCTTTCCCTGCTCAAAGCTCCCCCGCCCTCTGCAAAACAGCAGCGTGATCTGGGCACCCCTTTGCAGCTGAGCTAAGCCTCGGGCAGGAAGGCAGCCTCCATCCTCTTCCGTCCCATGCTGGCGAGGAGGGACATGAGAGGGAGCGGTGCTTTCGCGCGTTCCCTAGAGAGAGCTTTTACGAGGACATCGGGAAGGGGTCGGAGGATGTTTGGGCGCACGCGGCAGGTGCCGCTCACACCACACCAAAGGAGCAAGTGCATAAAGAGCTGGGAAGAAAGGCTGGGACACCGACAGGAGCCTCAGACAGCTGCCGAGCATCAATTAGTCTCTCTGAAGGTGCTGATAATGTATGCTCTCGAATGTGCCGCAGTGCCTGGGCTCCCAAATTGCTTCCGATCTGCGGAGAGCGAGGCACCGCCGTTCTCACACCTGCAACTGGTAGGGGGAATCTCATTTGGCTGCTCTCAGCCTGCTCGCCAAGGCGCCTGGTGCTCCCCCGCCCCTTGGCCCGCAATACCTGGAGCTATGGGGACACCTCGAGGCCACTGGGGTGAATGGCAAGCGCCACGCTCGCCTTCTATGTCGTAATCACAGGTCTGTTCTCTGCCACGTTCCTCCTGCTGCTTAAGATGTCAGGGTAGTTCTGATGTCATCGCAAGTAGACAAGGATCCAGACCCTCGTTCTGCTCAGGCAGTTGACTAACCGCGATGGCATCGCAGCCAACTCCAATGCGGCATCTTGGAAAGTATCGGACGCTTGCTGTCTTTTTAGAGAAGATGTGAGAAAGCTGTTGAAGAATAGGGCAGGGGGCTTGCGTGACTGGCACGATGGACCCTCCTTCCACAGTTGCAGATGGAGGGAGCAATGATGGGCTTTTGACTATTGCTCAGTTTCTCTCAAAGCTCTGCTAATACATGGAAATCTCTGTGTTATAGTACTTGAACTCCCAATTTGTTTCTAAGCTAAGTATTGGTCGTTCTCTGTCTACTTCACCCCTTTGTCCATCTCCTGTCCCCCAGATGGGGGTGGGTGGAAAGTAGAACCCACCCTTGGCCATGTTGGCCAGGGCTTGTAGGGTTTTAAGGCAAAAATATCTGGAGATCAACCTCCTGGCCACTTCGACCCTAGAAAGTGAATTCAAGCATACCAGGTAGAAGTTCCAGCCTACCCAGCTCCCAGGTACTCTCGGCTCCTTGGGAGGACTTGCCAAGAATTCTACTGGGTCTTTTGTGTAGGGTCTCTTTGCAGCCCCCTTGGCTCCTTGGGGAAGCACACCAAGCTGCAGTTTTTGTTTAGCATGTCTTGTGCAATCACGATGTGAACTGGTGTCGCTTTATCCCAGAATGGCACACCCCCTTGTGAGCTGCCCCACTTTCACCACCAAAGAACACAGTCTCAGGTTCGGTGCTCATAGGCTAAAA